CACTAAGTATTCAGTCTGTTCTTGAGAGAACTTAGCCTAATAAATATGCAAGAAAATACACAGCAATAAGGAGATCTGATAGAGTAGGAAAAGATTAAATGCTGTCTGCCCATGCTTGGATTTTGGTCAGAATTCCAGTAGACACAGAGCCATGAATCTTATGGAGAAACCTGCAGCTCATCTATTTATCTAATTTTATCAGAAGTGTTATCAGAGTGTGACTCCTAAAGAGGGAAAACATTGATCTTCTCTAAGACTTTACTGAGAATCATCTAGCAAAAATACATATAGTCCCTCAGGTGTTCTGCACTGACATTGCATAGAAGAGGAAACAGAGCAGAAAATAACATTTATTCCGTATCAGAGTGCTGTTCATGAAGCTCTGTGTTTATGAAGATATTTAATATGCCTAAGTGCCATTGATTTAGGAGTAAAAATCAACTCTCTGGTGTTTTGTGCAGTCTGAAATATGGCCTTGAAAGCTGAATGGAGGAAAGAGGTTGATGGCTATTGACTCCCTGGCGTCTCCTAACATGTGCAATTAAGGAGGTCACAATAAGGGACAACTGCAAGAGCTCCTGGCCTTTGCTGAATTCACAGAGGGCTCTGGCCAGGTCACTGTGCAGGGCCATTTTAAAGTAGAATTCTGTCAAAAAAAAAAAAAAATAAAAAAAGAGGTCTAATGCAAAACCATTGATTGATGCTATTTATTTGAAAACTAAGAATATGTCTGATTGCAGAGAAATATGAGCACGATGCAAACACAGCCAAGGAAATCTTCAATGTTTTTAGAAAGCTTAATATCCTGGAATAAATATAAACTTTTGGGGAATAAATATTAATTTCTAGTGGGAAAAGCTTTTACATGGAAGAAAGTCTAGCTGCGTGAAGATGTTGTGTAGATTGGAACAAAACAAGATAAATATTTGGTCCTTCAAGAGACTCCTGCCTTAGAAAGAGAAGAATTTAATTTATGACATCAGGAGGTATTTGTGGGCAATTGTAACTACAATTTCACCTACAGATATTCCAGGGGGCAGGGCATTTAAAAGCATTTTTCCTTGAGTTTTCCTTTTCCAGGATCCTGAAGTTCCCTGCACTGTGCATAGGAACCATGTCTGCTGAATGAATGTGAGAATAATTTATTCTACTCTGTATAATCTTATTACTAAAATAACTTCTGTATTACAATTAATATTGCTTTTAATGATTTTTCAACTAATTTTGGTATGTGCTGTCACTTTCTGGACTTCATTTCATGTGAGTTTTACTGATAATCTTTAGAGAACAGTTTCTTTGTCTCTCTGCTTTTATTTTCACCCAGAGGTTTAAAGATATTATTTCCTTGCTACTTTGATGGTTACCTTGCAGTAGGGGATGGCTCCTGCAGTCACTCCTCTGTCTCATGGGCTTTCCTCTGCTAACTTTTCAACTATTTAGTTTCAACCCACAGTAAGGTTGTCTGAGTTTTCCTCTTATTGTCCCAAACAGAACACTTTAATTCACTGGAATGGGAATATCATCTGGCCTCATCCGCTCCTCATTATTTCCCATTATTTCATTTTGCTGAGATTTGCTTTTTATCTTTTTTGCCACTTTCTAGAAGCACTCTTACATTACCTACCTACTGAATCCCACTTTGGTGCCCTCTGTTCTTTCTTTGATTGATGCATCTTTCTTACAGATTTTCTTTGTGTACTGGCTACTTGGGGTTTTTTTTTTGTTTGTTTGTTTTTTCCTGTTTCTTCCTGTCTCTTTACTGAGGACTTTATTCTTTCTTGCCAATTTAAAGTCCTTTTGCCCAGACCCATTAGTTTTCTTTCCTAGCAAACTGGTGACTGCAGCCCTCAAAAATAAATTATCAGTGCTTTGAAGCCTCTGCTTTGTGTTTCTAAGCCCCCCACCTTCTAGACTCTGATTTACTACCACTTTTTCTGGGAGTTTTGGGGTTTATTTAACCTTGACATTGGCAGTGAATCACCTATGACATTAAGCAGATTAGACTGAAGCTAATTATGCTGTACTTTGGGAATTACAAACCAGAAATTGCTCTGATGGATTTCCAGGTCGGGGGTTTAATGAAGCAGCAGTATTTTCTGTGGCAGCACCTTAAGGGGGAATGTAAGGGATCTATCCTTGCTCCATGTCTCCTAACTTCCTGCCATCATTCCTCTGCATTGGCTTCCAAAATTTGCTACATCATAATAAATGTTTGCTATCTCATGTGCTTTAAATAAAGATCAGAAAATACTGCCTAAGCAAAAGGGGTGAGCTGAGGCTACTCAGCCAACCTTGATTTTTTTTTTTTCATTCCCCTCTCCCATTGTCTAACTTGTGAAACTTTTCCTTTGCAAATCTGTAAAATGTTATTTTAATGTAATTTGTGCCTAACATATATATTATAGATAAGTCTATCTAATAAGCAGTTTGGAATAATATATGTAGATTTTTCTATTTTATATTCTTTTCCGTAAGTCAGCAGAGTGGAATTAATTAACTTGATATGGATCTTTTTCAGTTTCTTCAGTAACCATTCACCAAAGAATGGACTTAGGAGTGTATTTATATGGTAAATGTACTGATACTGCTTACTTTAATATAAAGTTCATCTTTTTAATGCTTTTCCATATATACATATTTGGCTCTTTTGGAAAGGGACTTGTAATTCAATCTTCTTTCTTCTCATTTTAGCAGAATTATTACTTACAAACTAACATAGATTAGTTGCAAGTATTAAAAGAAGGCTATTTATTTGTGTTAACACTTGAAAAGTACTTGAGCAAGCTATTTATTAAAAAAGAGTGACATTTGCTATAATACTTTAAATAGTAGAGACTATTGAGTTGTGGTGTGTTTTTTGTTTGGTTGGTTTGGGTTCTTTATGGGGGAATATTTAAATAAAAATTATTCAATGAATGCATATGAGAAAACCTGTTTGATAGAGAGCTTTAGTAATGCTTAATGGGGTTTTTGCTTTCCTGAGAGTGATAGCACAGCATGTAGTATATAACTGACTAATGGAGATTTGCCACTCAAGTAAGTCAATCAAAAATGTAATTTAGCTTGAAACTCTCATGGAAACAGATATGCCTCTTGTATCTGTCCCAATTAAATACAGCGTGATGATGATTGCATATGTGTTACTAATAGAGTTGTTAAGAGAATTTCTGATAAAGCTTTTGGTGGGGATGCAAAAATGTAAGTTTTGAGTCTTCTGAATTAAAAATAAAATCACTGACCAAATAGGATATTTTAAAAAAATTTACAAATGGTCTGTATCCTTATTCAAAATGCTTTTCATTTTGAATATATTTAATCCAGAGTAAAGCAGGGTGGGATCTTGGTTTTTTTGATCTATTTCCTTTTAAAATCATTAATGAAATCATCATATTCTAAAATAGATTTGTGATTTTAATTAGAGAAAAGTCAAGAATATCAAGTTAGCAACTATACCACCTTCTGCATCTCTGCAAAGTCTTCACGAGGGTGATGTTGGTGACTCTCATAAGGCAGAAAGAACATCTACTTTAAGCAAGACCAGTATATTTACCTCAAAAAGCCCTGGCATTTATTTGAAGTATACCAAGCATCCCTGGCATGGTTCCAGCCCTTCCCCTGGCACTGAAGTGGCTCACTAACATTGAGTAGAGAGGTGTGTCAGAGGTGAAGCTTTACCAGGTGATATCAGCCTGAAAAACCTGAGACTAAACAAAACTTTGGGCATATTTTCCAAGCATTATGTGTCTGTCAGAGCAAAGCTATCAGAAATTAATTTTCCTATGCTGTTGATGCCTCAGGTTCTAGCTTTTATGTTTTTCAGATTCTGTAGTGCTGAGGTCCATTAGAGGGGATGGTGAGCTCTCTACACAGAGCAGGGAGACAAAAGAATTCCTTCTCTGGCTGGGAACAAAAGACAACTGATCCAAATTTCAGGCCCAAGAGCACAAACAACATGGATCAAAGAGAAAAGCAAGAAGGATGGGACTTCATAAGCTAGAGTTATAATTAGACAATTAACTACAGTATGCAAATGGATAAAAACTTATTAAAGTGAGAGACTCAATGACTGGTTTTCCATTTTTGTGACCATTTGGGGTTCACCTGGGGTCTAACCCTGGCTGGACTCTTGTGCTGCCCAAGGTGGATCCATTGAGGCCTCCTAATAAATCCCTGTTTTATTCTTTAACTCCATCTAACCTCTGTTCTAGGGCAGCCTTCACAAGGCATCACTTCAACAAAATCCCCCTGTAGATACTCCAGGGACAAAATCAGATAGCCACTAGCATGGCCTTCTACAATTAATTTATGGAGGTAAAATGTGTACCCTAGCCAGAAGAACAGTATCTCAGAAGACTGCATTTCTGATTTTCAGCCCTGATTCTTAAGGAGCAGCTACCAAATATAGTATATTCACAGCTAACATTCACAGCTGCACTTGGCATTAAAAACCATCGAGATGTGACCCTGATAGCTGGCCTTTCTCTCCAGCTGGAACCTGTGCCTGACTTCTCTGTCCCATCAGACCTCCTGAACTGATTATTGCTTTGCTTGCTGATGTTTCCCTCTGCTTTGCTGGTACCATTTCCTTTTGAATTGGTTAAATAATTATCATAACAAATCTCAGCGTTGAGTTTATTTGCTTTATTTTAGGTCGAAAGAAAGATTTGCACACCCCAAAAGCTTGTCTGTTACACCCAGTAAGTGCAAAAAAAGGAGAGAAAAAGTCCTCGCAAAGTTTGACTTTTTTTGAAGCATAGGTGGAATATGTGTATTTCCCCAAGATTACCTCTTAAAGTGCACTTCTATAAAATGAGTACTGCATATCTTTGAAAATTCATCCCAGTTTCACTGTATTCAGTTAAATACTTTGTACAAAACACAAATCACTTTCTGGTTGAAAAGATTTGATGATGCAAACTCATTTGATCCTTCTAGGACAGATTGCAGCAAGTTTATGATGTTGCTATTTTTTTATGTCTTCTTTTTGCTTTTGTTTACAGATGAAATAACCTACCAAGTTACAGCTGAAATGAGCAAAACAATTTCTGTAAAGTTTTGACAGGATAAATACTCCTGTGATTGAAGAACTATAGGTGTTTACACATCTCTTTTAAATTTCTAATATCCTGTGTCAATTAGAATGATGTGCATCTTTTAAATACACGGTGAGCTCTGTTTGGTGTTTTGGTTTTTTTTTTATTCTGTGTCTATACCTACATATAGAGAGAGTCATCATGCTTTGTGCTTATTATACAAAAAACTGACTTGGGAATAAGGGGAACACAGTCACAGGTGAAGCTGGGAAATTACTGTTATTCCAGTTCATGATTTAACAGTACAATAGTTTGATTTATGACTTACAATAGTTTGTATTAATTCTAATTAATATAGGAAAAAATCATAATGCATTTATATTGCTTCTCAGGGGAAATAAAAAATCAATTCTAGAAATATTCTGAGTTCAAAGACTGTCAGCTTCAGCGTTCCTGAAAGAAAGAGATGGGCTCAGAATGAGCTGTCAGCACCCTGAAGTCATAACTGGGAGGCACATGGTCTTGTCTTAGGGAGCTTCCATTTCCTGGGAGAAAACAGATGATAGTCCTGCCCTCCACAGACTTTATTGTTGGAAGTTTTTTTGAACACAGCTCAGGTGCTCACTTTTGTCCTTAGTTGCTAACCATTCACTTTTTGTTCTCGAGCTGGGTTTGTCTGGACAAAGGAAGGCTGAAATCCCATAGCAACCTCTGAATTGCAGCTGTGGTTTCTGTCAGAACCCCTGCACCTCTGGTACTGTTCTGCACAGGTGCACCCTTTTGAACTTCATTTTATTCTGGAAACATGAACAGCTGCTCGTTATCACTGTAAACCTAAGGAAATCTGAAAAAAATGTAGCTGGTAGTTCGCTGACCACCAGGCAACTGCTATCACAAATACTAATATTTTCTGGTTTGTTTTTTTTTTTTTAAGGCTAAAATCAGCTCAGGTGAACACAACCAATACAAGTCCTGAGACCCTGAGCTGTCAGGTGAGTGGCCTTTAGTAATGGAAAAAATTGTTTTGTTTATCATAAAGATGTTGGGAAAGTTCAACCAAGCTAAAGCAAAATAACACTGCAGAGATAAGGTGACCTCCTGTGAACTGCCTGTATAGCAGAGATCAACCTTTGTCCTTGTTCAGGTCTAGTCAATTGAAAAAAAATTAAAAAATAGGATTTTATCATATCTTCCACGTAGTTCACTTATCATACTGTGATGCTGGTCTCTAGTATACTTGTAATGGGTGTGTGGAAAGTATTTTATAAAACCAAGTTCACTTCTAAATAAATATAGACATTTAGGAAGAATTACTCCAGCAGTGAGAAAACAGCTGCCAGCAGTGTGTTGGATAACAAGACATGGAGATTTTAAAGACGGATTTTACTTGTTGAAAGAAGTTGACAAATAATTTAAAAAAAAAGACAAAAAAAAAACCCCAAAACAAACAAACAAACAAAAACATAAAACCACCAAAACGTTCTTAACCCAGAAAAAGAAATCCCAACCCCAACAGAATTTTCACAAGATGTCAAAGGTTGGACTTGATGATCTCGCAGGTCTTTTCCAACCTACCTGATTCTGTGGTAGGGTGACACCAGTGGGCTAAAAGAGGACAACTTTCTTCTAATGGTGATTTTTCTGCCACAAGTTCCTGTCTGTAGAACTAACCTGTCTTGTGTGATATGGTGGTTATGCAGCCTTTGTTTCAGAAAAGAGAGAGACCTTTAGCATGATCTTTTACAAGAAATAGCATAATTGCTGGGTAGGATATGAAGGGGGTTAAGTTTTTAAGCAACCACGGAGTGAATGGGAATGGAAAGTAGATAGTGAAAGTCTTAATCTTTCATAAAAGAAAAGCCTTACAGTTTTGAAAGACAAAGACATTTGTGCTAGAGCTAAAATGGATCTGGAGAATAAGAATAGCAATAGCTGTGTGACCACAGTTAGAATATTTTCATTATTTTTCATTACCCACAGGTAAAGTGCATTTGAAATAAACCACCTTGAGCTTTCAACAGAAAAATACCATTTGTTGTCTCTGGGTCTTCTGCAAATCTGCTGGTATCAAGCTTAGGAGACATGCTGTGCTGACATTCCTTACCCTCTGTCTCATACCATTAGTATCTTAAAAGAATTTCTCTGGCAAAATAAACCGTAATTGCAACTGTTCAGTGCCCACCTGAGAAAATTACTTTTACTATTAAAACTGAATGGCTCAAAAGGTTTCAGCACATTCCTTTTCTACCACGTATCTGAACAAGACCTACAAAGGAAGGGAACAGTCAGGAATAGCACCTCATAGTACATTTATATGTAAGCCAATCAGGTTTTTTTCCTTTAAACCTATTAATCTTCTCTGTTCTTATGCACTTTCTTTGTATCTCTCTCCTTTCTCTTCCTCAGTGCTGTTGTGTGACTTCCAGATTCTTTTAATACCAGTGTAACATCAATAAGTCAGAATTCATTTTTATTTCCTTAATAAAGACCTTGTTTTTAAGTGTTCTCAGCATTACAAATTAGAGTCACATTTTCGCAGATGCTGAGATTCTTCAGCTTTCCGTGCCCTGGTTTTGAAAATATTTTAAATGCCTGTGTGGTTTGCCTTGGAGTGTAAATCTGTCCCTCAAAGGAGGATCCTAAAATTGAGCATCCCCATTAGTGGCTGTTTCAAGGCCAGCTTTAATAAAGATGTTCCTTTCACAGAGGTTTTAGAAGAAAGTGCCATAGAAATATGAAAGCTTTCTTCTAATAGTTAAAAAAAACTCTAGAAAGTAGCCATGAATTGCTTCCCCCAGCACCACCTCCCTTGCTCTAAGAAATTCACCTGTTCCCTGAGAAACTTTGTAGTTGGAGGCCCATTTACAGGAATAGTTCCAGCCAGTCCTAATGATCATTCAGAAGAGCAGATGTAATAATGGTTTCCAGAGGGAGATGTGTTTGGGCTCCTAAACTTGCAGATGGATAGTGCTTTAAGAAAAGCAGGAATCTGCTCTCCTAACATGTTGTCTGAGGATGGAGAAAACCACGCGAGCTCTAATTTGCACTGCCAAAGCAAAAGTCATGGCAATGAGGGTGAAATAGCACTATTTTAGGAAATGCTGATTTCCATACCATTGTAGAAAGAGAAAATGGATACAAAGGATTCATGTCAGTAGTGGCTGGTTTCCTTTTCCCTTTTTGAGGCAGAGAAAGATCAAAACCCCTGAGGGAGGCCAAAACCCCTGAAGGAGGCCAAAAGCAGATTTCAGCCCTGTTTTGATGTTTCTCATCATGGCTGGAGGAGAGAGGAGGAGCTGCAGAGATCCAGGACTGTCTTTCTGCTGTGTTTGCTCTTAGGGCAGCTTAGCTGAGAGGCTTTGGTGTGGCATTTCCATCTGAGCAGGATAAAATATGTGTTCTGGGGATGGTAGGACTGTCCCAGAGCTGCATGTGCCATGATGGTGCATCTTCACTTGACCTTGCTGGGGACAGGGCAAGACATAGAATCATAGAAGGTTTTGGGTTGGAAAGGACCTTCTAAAGGTCAATTAGTCCAACCCCCTGCCATGGGCAAGGAAACCTTTCACCAGACTAGGATGCTCAAATCCCTATCCAGTGTGGCCTTGAACACTTACAGGGTAAAATTCATCTGAGCAACCTGTGCCAGTGTCTCACCATCCTAGTAGTGAAGAATTTCTTCCCAATATTTGACATAACTTCCTCATGACATTCCTCTATGTTCTATCACTACATGCCCCTGTAAAAAGTCCCTCTGTGGTTCTCTTGTAGCTCCCTTCAGGTACTGGTGGACACTCTAAGGTCTCCCCAGAACCTTTCCAGGCTGAACAGACTCAGCCTGTCTTCAGAGGTCAGGTGTCCCATCCCTCTGACATTTCTGTGTCCCTCCTCTGGAGCTTCTTCCACAAGTCCATGACCTTCCTGTCCTCAGGAGCTCAGAGCTGGATGCATTACTCCAGCAAAGTGCCACTTTGCAGGCTGGCAGGTGACTTCTGTGGCACCCCAGCACTGGCCCCATCAGCGTGTCAGCCTGGCACAGGATCACTGGGTCTGTGTTTTGTTGTGGGTCTGTTGCTGTTTCTTTGTTGAGGCAGAAATTCTTCCCATGAAACATCTGACTGCTGAGCTCTGTGTCCCAGCTGGCAAAAGAAAGTCAGCCTCTTATTACCCAGCAATGAACTGTGTTAACAGCTTGTTAGGGTTGAAAAACAACCAGATAATTGTACATCCACAGTTTTCCCTTGCTCTATTAGTTGTTGTGTCATGGCATGAAATGAGACACTCTGTCCTTGAAGGATCTTGGGCTAGTATTTTTTCACATGCATACAAATGTGCCAGAAAATTACTCTGTCATAGTTTACATAAGTCTGAGTGGGTTGGAATCTACTACCAAAGCCTATGTGCCTTATGCAGCTTTAAGTTGCCCTAGGATGTGGCAAGCACATTTCTCTCCCTCTCAGGATTTTTCATAGAGGAGCACAGAGAGAAACGAAAGAGAAAATTTCTATTTCTGCTCCTTGTTTTTCCTATTTGGAATGTGTTTGGAGAATTGTTTACCTGGGGTGACTGCTGGGTTGGATTCTGGTGAGGATTGTTTGAGCCTGGTGGTCAATCCAACCCACCTGGGGCTGGACTGGACTCTCAACAGAGGATTTTGAGTTGAGTGAGAGAGTCAGAGAAAGTAGTATGTAGTTTTAGTATCCTCCTTTTATATAGTATATTATTATAGCACAGTTATAATAAAGAAATCATTCAGGCCTTCTGAATTGAGTCAGACATCAGCATTTCTTCCCATTGGGTTCGCCTGCATTTACAATACTAGGATATCAGAAATGTTTTTTATGGGGATTGGAGACAGGACAAACGAACTGAGGGAAAACCAGAAGCCTTGTGGAAAGGCACTGGAGTCCAGGCAGGGTGCCCAAATTGTGTCTGAAATGGAACCGCATACTCGGCTTTTGTCAACTGAACCCCATCCTAGGTGCACACACAAACAATACACTATAGGCACAAACATTATTGTAAGCTTATGTCAGTTCTGATGCAAAACAACAGCAATTATTTTCTGATTAAAGTACCGAGACACCAAGGGAATTTGCCACAGGTAAAATCACTACAAGGCACAGTCCTGACCGCAGTTTATTTCAGCAGCCCAAGCTGCTTCTCGTTGTGGACTGCAAAGCTCTTATTTCCCAAAGTACCCAAAATGAGTCGGAACATGTTTGCCTGTGATGCAACAAGGCGCAGTTCATTGCAGGAAGCTTGGGAAGCGCTCGGCTCGTGCGCTGCTGACCCAGCAGGGGTGGGTCGCTCCGAAGGGAAGGGGAGAGGAGGACAATCCCTGTGTGGGAACCACCTTCAGAACAAAACCTGCAGCTTCAAAGCAGGGGGAAAAAACCCAAAAAAACCAACAAACCAACACAGACCAACCCCCTGTAACACTTCTAAAATGTTATAATGAATGGAGCGAAAATAACGTGCCCATTTACATTTCTTTGTTCTTATTTGCAGTTTGACTTAATGTCAAGAGATTGCCAAAGTTTCAGCATCAGCATCTGCGCTCACCGGCTTCAACAAGACTCAGAAGAAAGAAAAGAAAGAAAAAAGCAGTTTATCTTTTGTAAATTACCTGTGTCATGTGCAGCTTACATACAGGGGTGTTTATGTATGCAATAGAGAGTCACTTTTAAGCAGAGCTGCAGCTTGAGATGTGTTTTCCAAATTGGAGACCTGGTTTTGGGCCCAAAATTGCTGAATACTCCAGTGCTAATGCTCTATGTCTTATGCAGCACCAAACCCCTCATTAATGTGGTATCAAAAGAATGAAAGTGTGTCCTCCCTACTAGCTTTTACTACTTTAATAGACATTTACTATAGTTTTAAATAATATTTGTAGCAGCAGAGATCAGCAAAATTCCCATGGTACAGAACCCTTTTAATTTTGGTCTATAACCAACTTCTGTAAGAGTGTTTTTACCAGAACTTCCAAATTTCTTTTAAACACAATATTTGAGGTTTAGATTACATTATTAGCAGTCAAACATTTTTTATTTGTACTATTTATTATGTCAAACAGACAGAGAAGTGTTTTTAACATCCAGCTGTGCTTCAATTCAGTCTTGATTCGATTAAGGGGATCTGTTGCAGTGTAGAACCATTAGCTAAGAACTTTTTAAAAAAGTGTTCTTCAGGCAGTCTAAGCTACTAAATTCAGATAGTCTTTATAAAAGAGCTGCATTTTATTCCTTTTGTATGATATTCTACCATAAATTAAGATGAAACCTCTTGGTCTGCAGCTCCTTTTCTTAATAGTTCTTCATGTTTGAAAAACATCAACTCATTTTTATTTATATACGGACATTTATATTCATTTTAACTAGTGAGGACTTAACATCATGCGTTGCAAAAGTATAATGAAAAAATATATTCTTGACCACCACGTCATTTTGCTTTGAATTTCAGGGTCATTTTCTTTATATATTATTATATGAATCATCTCCATTTACAATCATAATAAAATGCTTTCTGGTGTTCTCAGTCTCAAAAATTTATGAAAATAAAAAAAACATGATGCAGGCACAAAAACACAGGTTTCTGAAATTGGAACATCCTGTACCATTACTTGAGATAAAGTTCTTAGTTAAAATTTAAAATATTGCTCAATTTTTTTTCTGAGGAATTTATTTTGGGATTTTACTGTTAACTACACTTGAACTAAACCTATTCCTGTGAACAACAATATTTTAAGTATTTTAAAATGCTCCAACTTTAAATAAATTGATGACCAGTGAGATCATCCCTAGACATTCAATAGCAATGGTGTTACAGGAGTGTCACTGAGAGTGATAATGATATCATCATACTAACAAGCAAAGTGTATTCTGCATGACTCACTGCTGCTTTTTTATAGAAGTTTTAGCTTAAGAAATGAGGATGTGAGTTGACTGGGTTGGTGGATGAGCACAGAAAACAGAGAGACAGAAATATTTTTAAAAATCCATTTAATTTCTAATTTTATTTTTTCCTAAGTTTCAAGATGCTGCATGAGATCCAGAATTGGCACAAACTGAACAAGTAACACAGTAATTTTTCTTCAGCTCTTCTGTGGAAGTAAGTTTTAAGACATGTTCATGGATGGCAGTTTTACTCAAGAACCTGACAAAGGGAATCTGGTAAAGCAGTTGCTTAAGAAGGATTTATATGTTTATAAATATGTTTATAAATATGTTTATATGTTGCAGTAAATGCTTCCCAGCTTTCATATTCTAATTAATACTTCAAACTGCTGTTTGAAAAGCAGTAGGTCATTATTACATTGAGACATGGTTTTAGTTTGTTTTCTTTCTGGTGCCATCTCTTCCAACTCTACAGGGATATATATATATACACACATATTATATATGCATGAAACATTTCCCTTTAATTTAGGCATATATATATTATATATGTATGAAATATTTATTTTAATGTGTTGGTTACAATCATCATGCAAATGATTGTGCTTATTGCAGGACACAGTTCACTGAACTGGAAAGAGAGGTGATTTTGTCCTTTGGAGCTGCTCTTGGTTTATTAGCTCACGATGCAGAGTGTGCAGGCACCCTGTGTGGCTTTATGGAGTGGGAAAAGAGCAAACAAGACAGACTATTTGGGCAACAGCAGAATTTGAAGAATCTACACAGGCCTGTCCTCCTTTGCCCTGGGTTAATATCGAATGCATTCGACAGCAATGCAGAATAGGCTTGGGTGTGCACCTCTGATTATGTGGCTCAAAACACTGCTTTTATTTATTTTAATCCTATGTATTAGCCTGAATGCCTCATGTGGGCTACCAGATCACTGCAAGTGCACTGAATTCATCGTGCAGCTCTTCTGCTACAGGGAGAGCTGACAGACAGGATTTCCCCCCATCTTCTCCCACAGAAACTCTGAGCAATAATCTTGTACTTGCCTTGGTAATGGTGTGTGATTTTTCCCAGACACTTAAGCTGCTATAAATCAAGCACATGTGTGTCAGAGGAAGACATAACCCTTTATTTATGAATGTGTTGGAAGAACTGTCAGAAAGGGATATTGATTCTGGTTTTATACAGGGAACTAGTGAGAATAACCAATCAATGTAACATAGGGACAACTTACCATTGTTATTGAATATTTAGGTTGTAGGGAAGTGTTGCGAATGTATTCACTGCAAAAGCTGAAGTTTTCTCCTCTTTTGTATTAACATATACAAAACTGGTAAAAACATGAAAAAAGAAACATCTGCTATCGTAATTCATGATTAATAGTAGCCTCTATCTTCAGTCATGAGTATTCCATGTGCATAGTGAAACTTGGTAGAGTTTGTCATTAGAAATAATCTGGAAACAAAAATAACTTCAGAAAAGGAAAATGCCAATACCTTTGTGTGTAAAGAAAATGTGATAGCCATCAAAGAGACAAAAAAGATGTAAAAGGGGAATAGGTCGTGTAGGAAGTTTACCTTTGATTAGCTCAGCAGGAAGGGTGCAAGAGAAACGTGCAAATGTTGAACAAGTCAGCTACCACTGCTGAGCTAGGGAAAGCCTTGGCTGCTTCTCTTGGCTTTGGATGTCTGAGGTTTGCCCTGGGATATGCTGGAGCAATGGTCAAGGAACTGGCCAGAACCAAACCAAGTTCATCCATGTAACTCTAGGGAGCACTGCAGTGCTGGAAATCTGATAAAAGAAAACCTAAAGATGAGGTTCTGGCAGTCCAGACTTATTTGAGAGTACATGAATCTTTAAACAAGAACAGCAGTCATTAAAATTAAAACTTTATTAAAAATAAAGTCCTAAACTGAGCTATAACATTTTGCTGCTTTGCATTTCCCTGTTCTCTTAAAATAATATGCTGTGATGTTTATTACAACAGTATTCTGCTTTTTTATTCCGTTCTTTGCACCACTAGCTCTAAACTAGTACTGGCAGGAGGAAGAATGGGGAATGGTAAGTGCTCAGGTGCAATTTTCAAAGTTGATGGAGAGGTTTGTTGCTTTATTGTATTCAAATTTATTTTCAGACTTCTTAAAGGTGGCCTTAAAAATATTTTTGGTTTGCTAATCTAGAAATATACTGCTACTAAACTTCAAGGTAAAATACCAGGCATTATATATGTAATTCCTAATATGTATTGTACTCAGTCAGGCCCAGTTGTCCACAAATGCTGTGACAAAAATTAAGGGGAAAAAATTAGTAAGTGCTACTGCCACTATTTACTGAAACAATACAAAACATAATTCCGTGACTTGATTTACCTGTTTTTCACATCTGAGTTTTGATTCTATATATGCTCTTTTTCTTTTGAATTTGACAAATAAACACATTCCAAATACTTTGTGCAAACTATTTCATATTCCCTTAGGTCTGATGGTGATCAGGGTGGCTTAGTGACCCATGACTGGCTTTATTTCAATCTTAGAACCATAGAATACTGTGTGCAAAGAACACCTCAAGGATTATCTGGTCCAACACTTTCTTTTCTTTTTCTTTTCTTTTCTTTCTTTTCTTTTCTTTTCTTTTCTTTTCTTTTCTTTTCTTTTCTTT